GACAACCTCTAATTAACTCAGGTTCTCGCTTTAATACTACTGAAGTTTCTAACCCAGAATATCACAAGCCAAGAGGCCATCCCCCAAAACGATTGAAATCGTATATTGAAGAAGATAAAGAAAATGCTAAGCAACATTCTAATCGTGAACAAAGAACGTGCAGCTACTGTCTTGGTAAAGGTCATAATATTCGTGGATGTGCTCAACATAAGGCTGATATAGTCAACAAAGAAAATCATTGAATTAAGCCAAAATAAATATCACACATATTTTTGTGTATCTTGCATGCTTTAATTAATCTGATTTACTTGCGCTTGTGATTGTAAAAATTTATTGTTCTAAATTAGTATGTATACAAATTCTGTCACTCATACCATATTTGTCTACTGTAATTTCATCATTCTGTATTGAGTTTGGGCCAGTTTTATTTTTCATATGTTAACCCGAGTTTAACATATAGAAAAATAAAACTGGATAAGTTCTGTCCCTTAAAGGGTTTGCAGGCAAATTTGCCACAAATTTTTGATCAAAATCGTTTTTGACAACTTATATAAGTAATAATGCGCCTCTCTTATAATTACTACTTACCAAGAACTTTTAACTAATGTCACTTTTAACTATGTCACTTTAACTAATACAAACAGCATCCCATCTTTATTTTTCTTTAGCATAGTGATACCACCTCAGTAAAAGGTCAAATCACGATTTGTTACCAGGCATGTCATTTATACCTGTTGATAATCGATTTGAAGTTCTGATTATAGTTGCTGTCCAAATAATTATAACTATTAGTCCAAATTGGATATATCTGAAATTTTGTCCCAAATCCCAATTCAATAAGTTTGGGACAAGTTTCACGGCTTTAACTAGTCTCAAATAATGGGTAATACTCTAGACGGTCCCAAAGTCCCAAACCAATTAGGTTTGGACTAGAGATGTTATCCTGTTCACTCAAACTTTGTTTGGCCCCTGTTTGAAACCAAACCGGTTAAACTCGAGTTTTGCAGTCACATGATTTTAATTATCATATTTCAAACTCATCGTGCTTAAATTGAATCGATTTGACAAGCAAAAAGCTTCGTGTATTAATAGATACAGTACAGTAACATGCTTCGGATCACATGTTTAACAAGCATAATCAATAATAAATTTGTATAAACAGAGTTTGAGACCCAGTTTATCGTGTGTGCTTTGAAACAGTGTTTAGCG